AGTGGTCCTTCTCAAAACTATCATTTTTGTCTTTCCTTCATCATCCTCAGTATCTGTACTTGACTGTGCATCCCTGTCTCTGTGTCTCTTTCTTTCTGTCATTCTAGGTGCTGGTGGGCATGTGTGTGACAACTTCTCTGATGTACTAGCCTCACCTTCTGAATCTGACTCTTGCTTCACTGCCCCCCATTTCTGGCAGGTAGTGCTGTCTCTGTTCCTAACTGACCCAGTCTAAGAAACACTTTTTTGTTTGAATGTATGTTCTTCCACCCAGAATATTTCTCAAAGTTTGCGCTCCTTGAAAAAAGAATTTCTCTTCCACCCAGATAAAACCTGTAACTGTTCCCTGAATAACCCACAAACATGAGACGCCTCCATTTGGGCTGACCTTTCTTTCTGAAAGCTGCAGGCACATACACATTAGCATACTACCCAAACACTCTAAGATATTTCAAATTGTGTGGTTTTTGTGAAGCATGTGGTAAGGCGTATTCTTCACAGCAGAATTCCAAGTGCAGCTCGGGAGTTCATGGAGATCATGACAAACATGGGCCTATCCCAACTGGTCAATGGGCCCATGCATTGTGCAGGTCATACACTCGATGCGGCCTTCAGTACGGAACAGGAATATCTGTGGGCGGAGGTGGAAAATACCTTCGCATTGTCATGGACGGATCATTTCCTGGTTAAGCTGAAACTGAGAGCCAATATCTGCCCCACCGGGGGTGGTGGACCCACTAGAATGGTCCGCCCTCGAAGGCTAATGGAGCCTATTGGATTCCGGAAAGCCTTGGAGGGTTCATTGGTTGGGAATGCCGGTGATCCTGTCGATGCCCTGGTTGATATTTGGAACACCGAGCTTACCAGAGCTGTCGACACAATCACTCCCAAGTGCCCTTGCTGACCCGCTTCTAACCGTAGGCCATGGTATACGCCTGAGCTTAGGCAAATGAAGCGGGCTGGACAACGACTAGAGCGCAGGTGGCAGAAGACTCAGCTCTTACCTGACAGAACTTGCCATAAGAATTTTCTTTATTCTTATCAGGAGGCGGTACGTGCTACAAGGAGAGCTTTCTCCTCTGCACGTATTGCGTCTGCAGAGTCTCGTCCAGCAGAGCTGTTTAGGGTGGTGAGGGAGATGATGCAGGTGGCCCCTGTGACAAATCCTTTGCTTAACCCATCAACGGCCTGCTGTGACGCCTTTAACAACTTCTTTGCAGACAAAATCTCTCAGATAAGAGCCGACTTAGATGCCGCCATTGGAACAGAGTCGAGAGGCGGGGTGTCCAGCGACTCCGCCAATGTAGTTATACTGGATCAGTGGCAATCTGTGAGTACTGAGGATGTGGACAAGCTGCTTGGTAAGGTGAGGAAGACAACATGCCCTCTCGAACCTTGCCCATCATGGCTGGCCATCCAGGGGGGATGCATTGGTGTGTATCCTTACAGATATCATCAATGCATCCTTCAGGGAAGGACATGTTCCAT